ATCGACAATACTTTGGTGCCCCACCCGTGGCAACTCCTTCTTTGAGGCAACTGAATGAGCAAGAGTTTGAGTCCCTCAAACAATAAATTAGGAAGGAGATTCGAGATGAGGTGTACTCGACTTGAAGGTAGAGTTATTGAGCTCAATGCGAGCAGTAGTTGGCATCTTTGTCATCTCAACCTTCTCGTCCCCGCACGAGCGGCATCCCCGATTCATGTCAAGCACAAAGGAGAGTTGTGATGCTCCCGATAGAGGGGCAGAGGTTGCTCCTACCGACACCGCCGATCGTCGGCTGTATGTTGCGGGTCCTCCCGAGCATTTGGTGGCATACGGTATGTATTATATCTTTGACATGTATTTGGTACAGTTGTTACGCATTATATAGTCTAAAATATTTTATCATTTGTTTACCTTAGGGAAAATGTATGCATTGGGGTCAACCATCCACCACCGGAGTATTGGAGATGATATGATCGTAGTGGTGGTTATAGATGTCCGGATGCCGTCGCCTCAATCCCTATTCCCACCGAAGAGGTTCAAACAAGTGGAACAGTGCACCTGGCCATTTTATCTTATGGCCAGCTTCATTAACAAGACCCATCCCAACACATGCACAGAGTTGATTTATGCATTGAACGATAATACTTATTATTTTTTGATAGGTTGATGTATATTAATGTTATTGATTTTTGGTACTTGTATAGGAAGAGGCTGAAAAAGCAAAGGAAGTTGTGCATGAATCACCACCACCACCATCTCGCTTTACAACGACTCGTGCAGATCGGCAACGACTATCGGACCACTCCCATACAGCTTAGATATGCCACCCGAAGTCGTATGCAGGACCAAGACGATCCCTTTTTTCTTACTCCAAAGGGATATTTTTGATATTCTCACCGGTATCGATATGCTATGTGTATCGGTGTTGCAGCTTTGGGAATTGTAAGTATATTTACATATTTTTTATATTCTCACCGGTACATTATTTTATAACTTTATTTATTTTCAATGTTGAAGGTATTTACATCGTTTGTATGTTGAGAGGAAGATCCGCTATCTCTATGGATTTGTTGACCTCGTTGCCATTCAGATCCGTTGGGAATAAAGTCGAAGAGGTGCAAACGTACTTAATAGAGGCATTTCAAAATGGGGGCAAAGAAGTCTACTTAGCACCTTACTTGCATAAGTAAGTATACATCTTGTAAATTAATGCACATTTATGTAAAACTGAAATTTTACTAATATTATTGCAACGTGCAGGGGTCATTGGCAGCTCATAATAATTGTTCCTCGCCAATTTCTTGTGATTCTCTTGTGTTCATTACACAAGAAACCAAATGATTTGGATATTAGAAAGCACATAGACGCGTAAGTTTGGTTGTTTTTAATTGTTGTATCATATGTGCACTACTTACACCAAAATTATTTGTCCTTTTGTAGAGCTTTGGAAGCTCACCTAAGGTTGCAAGGTCTTCCATCTCATGCTAGAAAGAAGTTGACGTATATTGCACCAAAGGTGACAAAACACCTCTTACTCGTTGTTCAATTTGTCATTTAAAGTTAATCCGACATGTATTTAACTTGTAGTGTCCACGCCAACCGGAAGCTATGAGTGCGGGTTTTATGTGATGAAGCACATGCACACCATTGTAGCCAAAAATATTCTTGACACGTGGAGGGAGGTAAATATACTATAATTAAGTCAAATATGCCAATTATGTAAATGATTTCTAAATCTGAAATGTTTCAATATGTAGGAATTTACGGACTCATCTCCAATGAAGATTGAAGTCTTAGACGATATCGAGAGCAAAGGAGCTTCTTTCCTTTTAAGCATTCAATCTTCATAGGAAATTTAACTTGTAACAATTTAGATAGAATTGATTTAAGTTAAGAAATTTACATTCGTTTAAGTAAATGAACTGTCTCGGAATTGGATCTCGTCTCGTACATATATTCATTTCAATGTGTTTCATATGTACATATCTCGTCTGCAATCGAATCTGTCTCGTACTGGATATATATCTCGTAGCAAATTTATATATGAACTGTGCATATCCGTCTGCATCGGATCTGTGGTTATTTGTCTCGGAACCGTGATGAATAGGCAGTGTCTACTCGAAGAAAGGTAGCATCTCGTAAATAAAATGCAGGTATTTTAAAAAAATAACACTTTCTACGCTCTGCTATGTCATTACCCGACGTAGAAGTACTTTCTACGCTCGGTTAATGGCATAACCGACGTAGAAAGTGTAACATTTTATGTCTGCTATAGGCATAACCGACATTGATAACACATACAATAACTGATATCGTTAACCGATATAGATACTCGGGGTTATAGAAAGTTAGAAAGTAAGACTTTCTATGTCGGTTATAATTTTAACCGACATAGAAAGTAAGACTTTCTATGTCGGTTATAAGTGTTAACCGACATAGAAAGTAATATGACAGTCGAGATCGCTTATGATCGATCAGATTAGCTTCATGACCGATCGAGAATAGCTCATACAAAATAAGACTTTCTACATCGGTTCCCGACTAACCGACGTAGAAAGTCTTTCTATGACCGATCGTAACCAGCTTATGATCGATCGAATAGCTCTATGACCGATCATAACCAGCTTGACCGATCATAATAGCTCAAAGAAAGTAGGGCTTTCTACGCTCGGCTCCTATTAACCGACGTAGAAAGTCTTACTTTCTACGTCGGTTATTAGGAATCGACGTAGAAAGCCTTACTTTCTATGACCCCCGTATCTATGTCGCCGCTTTAACCGACGTTGAAAGCCCATTTTAATCGATGTAAAAAGCCTTTTCTGCAGTAGTGTGAAAATAAATTTATCCAATGATTCAATTTAAAATCAAAATCATTGATTAATTTAAAATAATGCTATATTAGATGTCTTGCGGATTAAAAAACATAATTTGTTAAGGATTCGAGGACAACAAATTCAATGCATTTTTTTAATTAAATCTCACATCCATTAATATTATAATATGTAAATATACTAATTTTATAAAATTAAATTAAATATTTTACCATTTCTAAAATCGATCCGTTATCAATTATTAGAATGAATCATTCGTTATAATTTTAATATTAAATCATTCATTTTAACGTATGTTGTAAAATATAAACCACCTTGTATTTTTAATATATATACTCATATTATTTGTCAAAAATTTAATTTTACAAGTAAAATATATGAAATAAAATTTTAAATAATGTATTAAAAAATACGTTCATTAAGTTTTTTTCAATTACAATAAATGTAATTCAAGCAATTGATCGACTAAGTATATTGAATTCAATTAATTAATTAATTAAAGTATAGTTAAATAAAAATATTATTATTAATTAAAATAAAAACATTTTATCATTGATTTGAAAGGTATTATTAATGGAAATAAGAAAATAAGATATTATATAATATTTAATATTAATTTTGACTTTAATAATACAATCAATAATTATTATTGTTATTTTATATTGATTAATTTTAAATTTAAATTAATAAAATAATGATTGATATTAAAGAATATATAAAATTTTATAATTAATTTAAGATAATGTTAATAATATTAAATTAATAATGTTAATAAAAAATACTTTTTTTACATAAAAAGAAAAAAATACTACTTAATATGTCATTGAAATTTTTGAAACATAAATACCGTTAATAAATTCATTACTTAAAAATAGGATTTATTAAACTAAGAAAAATCATAAATGGAAATTCACAAATTTCTCAAAAGTATTAAAACGAAATATGGAAGGTGTTAAACAATCTTTGCTTAAATATAATTTTATCAATTTAACCATTTAAATTACAATTATGTATTATTTTGATAGTGTGCGTTAAGTTTTTTTTTTGTTTTTTTTTTAAATAATACGATAGTAATCAATTTTTTTTTTTTACAGTTTGACATTATTAATTTAATATTAATATTAACATCATTTTTAAATTAATAGTAAAATTTACATATTATTTAATATCAATAATTATTTTTATAAATTTAACATTTGTCATTGTAACATTAATAAATATAAAATTATAATTTCAACCATTAAATGTAATATTAATGTCAAAATTAATTTTAATCTTATATAATATTTTATTTTCTTATTTCCATAAATAATACCTTTTAATTAACGATAATAATTTTATTAAATCATATTTTAGTATATAACTAATTTATTTTTATTAGATAAATCGATCAAAATTTTAAATTACATTTTACGTATAGTAAATCAATAATAATACTTATTAATAATTATCAACTTCAAATTTAATATAAAATAATAATAATTATTCTATAAACTAATTGCTTTTATTTAATATTAACTTATTTATAATAAAAAAAACATAGATTTAATTATTGATATTAACTATTTTCGTTTATTTAAAAAATGTTTTTTTAATTCTAATTACGTAAATATTATGATAAGCGTCTACTCGGAAATTGTTATTTTATTTTTTGGTTTTTAAGAGAAAAATTCTAGCTAATCATGTCACCCTTCCCCCTTTTTCTATTATTTTCAAAAAATTTATTTCAGAATCTATTGAACTCTTCCGCAATGCATGTTTGATTTTCAAGTTGGATGAAGGCAAATCTAAATAATTTTTTTTTTACCTAACTTTCATATTTCACGTCTAAATTATATATTCAAGATTCCAAATGTCACTAAGTACAAACTAAAAACTCGTTATATAAACCATATAAATTAATGTACAAGAAAACGAATAATCTAATTTATGAACTATAACTTCACATTATGGATTGAAAAATGAAACAATTAAAGTGCAGATTCTGAAACAGTTTCATATATGAACCAGGTTGGCTACATCACACATGCTGACTTTTCTAACGACGAACTACTATTGTGAGCCAGCATAATATACTAAGAAAACTTTAACAATCACAGTTGACAGAAAAAGAAAAATACCAATAACAATGTGTTGCTTTGCATAATTGTAAGAAAGAACATGGCCAAGTCAGACCATATAGGTCATTCCAACTTGAATGATATTGGTGTGAGGTACTCTCATGTTTGCTGTACCTCCTCTGCAGTTCTTTCTGAGAAATGCGTAGAAATAATTTATCATTAGTTTCTTAAAGAAAAAAGAGTTCTTTTTCGCCCTCACGTCTCCATGTCCAAGCAAATAGGTGAATCCTGATTCTGTTGCTTCTCTAAGGGCTGAAAGCTCATATTCAAGACCAGGATCTTCACCTGATGACATGTAACTAGATGGCAATGCTGATGCAACAACTTCTTGAGAGGTAGAAGAAATTCCTGTTTCTTCCAATTTCTGATCATGCATCAGTGGAATCCTAAGCTCCTCAGCACCAGTACCAACAGGAAGATCAGAATCCCTTGTATTCGTTGAGACATTGTCCACATCATCGGTTAAGTTGCCCTCCAACTCCAAGGCCGCTTCAAGAGCTTCCCTTCTCAAGAATTTCTCAAGACTCTCAAGAAGAAGTTGCTCAAATGCATGGTGATCTTCCTTCCTTACATCTTTGTAACCATACCTAGCAACACAACGGAATATGTGGTAATCTTTGGGGCAAACCCTTCGAAATAGAAATCTTTCCTCTTGAGGAACCACAGGGACTGGGACGTATTTAATGCAGACAAAAACTATAGTTGAGTGAAGAGCTGGAAGGTTGAGCAAGAACTGCACAAAAATGGAGGGAATGCCCTGCACAAGCTCATTATACAGCAATCCTATTCCTGACACTCTTACTGTTCCAAGATTGGAGCCGAGCTCAAGCATTGTGTCCACTGAAACCTTCTCTCTAACTTCACTTCGGTACTTCAATACACTCCCATAGTTCCAAGTGTACATAATAGAGAGAAAAAAGGTAGCAAAGGCAAGTGGAAGCCAGCCACCCTCAACGATTTTGGATAGGACAGAAGACATGTAAATTAACTCCACTGAACCAAATAGAAGAGGGAAACACAGTGCCAAAAGCAAGTTAGTCTGCCAAATTAAAACCATCACAAGGGTCACCAAGGTTGTGCTAACCATCATCACACCAACTTCGGCAATGCCTGCAACAATGATATTGAAATGCATTTAGTACATATATATATATATATATATATATATATATATATATATATATATATATACTACAAATGATCTTCAGTATAAGGCATATGTTATGTATGAAATATTTTAGAAATGCAATATCAAACCAATGCAATATCAAACCATTTGTGTGTCTTCACCTAACAACGAAAACTTTCGAAATAGTTGGTTCATGATAGAGCATCTGAACCTGTATCTGTACGACAAAGAGATCTAAAGTTTCCTCCTTGCTGCCCCCATTTTTTTAACAAAAATTTTAGTTTCAGCAAAAGGTAGAAAGAATATTGACCACGTTCCAAGCCCAAATGGATCGTGTGAAGGGACGTGTTAGAAATATAATATATAACCATTCTTGAATCTTCACTTAACTGCTGAAGAAATCAAAACCATTTAATCCTTGTTATAAATTTATGTCTTTGGATTAAGGCCATCAAAATATTTGTTAAGCACTTTAAAAGCTCACAATACTACGAAACAAATATGTCTTTATACAAAAATCGAGCGCAAATGGGTTTTTGAAACACTACAACAACAATCTTATCTGTCAAAAGTACTTATAATGTAAGCTATTAGTGTTCAAGATAAAATCTTGTCCTCAACTCTTTTTACATCCACCACAATCTCCTTTCAATTCTGGTCTATAATGATACTCATTCCATTCTTTCTAAAACTTGCCACGAGTACTAAAATTTAAATCTGACAAGTTTAGCTATTATGTTTTTTTTTCTATCCTATTTAGCTTATTGAAGACTCATGATGTGAATCCTTCTCAAGGTCAGAGTGTCCACCACCTCTACAGATTACGTGCAAAAAGTACTAATATTCCAAGTATCAAACCTAATTAAACACTCACCACCATTGAATTAATGCTGTTACAATTTTTAAGTTATACGCGAGGCATACACAGTTTAGTTGGTATTTTTACTTAACTTTTGTCACATTAACAATTGAAAAAATGGAGACCAATCAAAGATGCAAATCAAGTGAACAAAAACTCGATGAAATCCCGATGCAGATTATTAATTCATGTAATAACTTGGTAAGCATACTAGCTGTCATTCCAGAGCCAAAAACTAAAAAAATAGAGAAAAAATTGCTCCAAGAAAATTGAGATGAGGGACACTGACCATATGCATTTGCAATATCAGTTGTGCTTTGAAATATGGAGACCACAATTATGCACATGATCATCAGAAACCAATTAACTATGGGGATATAAATTTGACCCATGAACTTTTTTGAGGTGTGAATTATCTTGAGCCTGGGGAAGCATCCCAAAGCCATAGATTGCTTTATGCACGAAAATGTAGCAGATATCATTGCTTGGCTGGCAATCATAGCAGCAAGTGTGGCTATCACAAACACAGGCCAGAACAGACTCTCTGCTCCACACAAAGCACATACAGCAGGTACCATCAAAATTACTATATACATAACAAATATATCTTAATTATAGCTTTAAGGGCAGTGATTTATATGTACAAGCATAAGAAGTCATTGTCTTAACAAATATCACCTGGAACAGACTTGTAGAATACGCTTGAATAAGAACTTGGGTTCTTCGTCAAAAAAGCAGCTTGGCCCATATAAGCAAGGAGGAGACAGGGAAATACCACACAAGTGAAGGCAATCTGTACAAGAAATTATACAAGAGAGTTAAGAAAAGAAATTTAAATAATTATAGGAGACTTAATAATGCTAATTTAATAGTTTTCTCCTTAAAAAGAAAAAAAAAATGAGCATTGACAAACCTGTATTGCTGGTACAGAAAAATGACCTAGATCTGCAAACATTGCTTCTGCACCTGCACAGGAATATACAGTCAAGTTATATAATTTTTTCTCACCTTGTCCTTAAGGGATCAACTTCTCATTAAGAAGGACAGGAATGTGTTTTGAATACTTAAAAAACCTTCAGAAATGAAAATTAGTGATATTTTCAGATCATGCAAATAGCTTCTATTGTTCATGCTGGACGGAATTTAAATTGCAAGAATAAACAGAAATGCCCACTTGATTTTGAGTAAATTATATTGAAAGAATAGAAACTTCATAACCAACTAGTATTAATTTTATAGTCCAAGTAACCACTGTATTACCATTAAACATGATATCCATCCTTCATCTTTTTAACCATTATGTGATACATCGTTGTGTAAGTGTTTTAGAGACAAAGTAGGATTTTGGGAAAGGGAGGGAGAGTCGCACAAAGTTTTACATGCGTCTTGTCCTCAAAGCTATTTTACAAGAATATATCCTATCAAGCATGGGTAAATGAACCACATATACCTATGATCTCATCTACTGTCTCATAAATCACAATGCTAAACTTCAAGAGAAAACATAATATACAAATGAACAATATGGTCATTATTGCAAACACTCTAATGAGATCCGGGAAGGAGTAATGGTCTGGTTCATAGGATCATTAAAGTCTAATATGCCAATCAATTCCAATACCTACAAGATGAGATCATGAAAATGACAAAAAGATATTACCTGTAATGCACAGAACACAACCACCAAGAGCTGACCATGCGTCTTTGCCATTTCTCTTGAAGAAATAATAGATATAAGCCGGATTGAATGCTTTCAGAACAGTGATATCATATTTAAGTATGTTATATAATCCAATAGAACCCAGAGAAAAGAACCATAAGGCAATTATAGGGGCAAACAAGAAACCCACTTTACTGGTACCAAACCGTTGTATGTTGAACAAAGCCACCAGGACTACAATAGAAACACCAACCAATTCACCTGAAAATGAGAACATGAAACACAAATCTAAGTTTTGCTGTGCAAAAAATGCAAGTTTGTTCATTTTCATAGTTCCATAAGATAACTAAATGCTAACATTCTTGACAAAATCCAAACACAAGTATTTGATCGTTCAAATTAAACATCTAGAATGACAGTTAAAGGGAAGCAAAAAGCTGAATTATCATTTCCAAAAAAAAAAAAGAGAGAAAAGAAATTAATTGGGTGTTTTATACAAGAACCATATTTACTGCTTTGATCAAAGTACACCAAGCTAGTTACTTGAAATTGAGAAATCATGAATTTCCAGAATATTGTAAAAAGATTTGTATTTTGCAATTTTCTGATAATTTTTAGATTAGGTAGACTGTAAGTAGCTGAAAGAACTCTTATCATATGCCACAAAGTCGTTTCTTTGAAGATACGTGGAGTTTGATAATTATGTTTTCCTGAATGAAAGAAAGCAGCCACCAAAAGAATATCTATCTAAAGCTACCATGTGAAAGAAGTTTTCATGAACCCTCTCAAATTTTCCGAGTTTTCTCATCTACACTGATATTTTGTATCAAGTTTTACTTTTCTTTGTCCAGTAAAACAAAATCTTAAAATACAAAGGAAAATATACCTACCAGTACCAAATCCGTTTATTTGATCCTGCAGACCACTTATGGCAGACATCACTGTATGAAAGAAGAACCATGGTTATACTGAAGTTAACGACTAGAAATTTTTTCTAAACATCAATTCTACTATGACAGACAAAATATAAACAAATAATAAAAAATTCAGGGACTAGTATCTGTATGTTATCTGAGAGGGGCAGTGAATGAAAAGTAACAATTCAACCACCTCAACAAAATATAGTTCCTATAAGAAACTACAACTATTAAAGATCCCACATTATCTATAGATATGACTAAACAGAGTATATAAATAGGTACAAACCTTGTCATACCTAAACACAATTTCTAATATGATATCAAAATCAATCTTTGTGAGGTTTGTTGCATTAAGTTTTCTTGTTTTTGTAAATTTGATGCCATTATGATTTAGGATGGCTGTTCATATCAAAATTTCTATTTTGTTGAAGGACTGTTATGTGACAGAAGAATTATGGAAAGTCACTTGATTGATATCATTGAACTTCAATACTCCATTAGCTCATACAATGAGTATGACAAATTTGGCTCAGGGGGCAAATGCTTATGATCAAACTTCATTGCAGTGAGGATCATTGATCATATGATAAAATGAATAAACTAACAACAGAAGTTCATGTAAAAAAGTTTCTTGCTTATGTACCTGATATTGCGGGGGTTAGAATACCATCTCCAATAATCATGGAAGCTCCCACAAGAACCAACACCAATAATAGGTTCTTCAAAAATGATGTTTTTTCCAAAGTATCCTTTATTTTTAAAGCCCTTTCCAGTTCTGGAGTAGGCAATTTGAGCTTAAAACTAGAGATATACTCATCAGCTTGTTGACGATTTGGAAGCAGACTCACGTTTGCATACCTGCAAATCAGCGAGTATAGTGCAAATGTTCCTCCTACATTTGAGCCATTAATGTATGGAAATTGAGATTTAGAATTAGTCACACGTGAACAATGTATATAATTCTGGGGGGAAAGTGAAACTCTTACCTTCTCCATTATCATTTGCTTTGAGGACTATAAAAACATACTTGGATAATGGAATAAGGGCTATTGTATACATTATTAATGATAATGCGCCCAAGACATCATCCTCTGATCCAATTGGAACCTTGCTGAAGACATCAGCAAAAACATATAGAGGACTTGTTCCCATGTCACCATATACCACACCAAGGGTCTTAAATGCCAAAGCAAGAGTGGGCCAGAGGGAATGGACCTGATTCACATAAGCACAAAAGATCAAAATCAGGGAATTGGCTTCTATGTGAACTTTTAAATAGAACATGATGAAGTGGAAGCTAGTCCTGTTAAGTGTTTGTTAAAAGTGGTAAAGCGAGAACTATGCCCTCCCTTTGGTAATCATGAATATTTGATAATACATAAAATTTAAGCATTTAAACAAGACCAAGAACACACAGAGTATCATCATTCCTGGCAAAAGTGTAAAAAGAAATGAAACCAAATGACAAAAATGATTAACCTTGGAGTGGTTAGCATGAGTTCCAGTAATCTCCATGGCTTCAACATCAAATGAGTCAACCCTCTTGGGCAACTTCGTAAGCCTCCTTCTGATTGACCCGAACCCTTCTCTACCATCATCATGCTTTGAACGCACAGGAACCTCATCCCAGTACACTTCACTGCCATCAACCCACCTTGACTCACTGCTCCCACCACTGCTGCTCCTACCCAACAACCTCGTGCTGCTCTCTTCAATCCCATCCCCCTTCATTCTCCCACCAACAATAAAAAACCCAGATCGCAAACTGAATCAGCTTCTAAAAGAGTGAAATTTAATCAGCAAATTTTGATGGTTTTTGAGATAAAAGTTCATTCCTTACTTCCTACAGGAAAATCCTTAACCATAGGAGTGTGAAGTTGAGGACTTGTGTAGTGAAACATTCCAAGAGCCAATTTACCCAACCACATGGACACAACAAAAAATAAGTGGAAACAAACTACTCTAGTGTGGGTTATAGGCAGTCAATTTCATGTCCCCCCACATGAAATCCTGACCATTAATACTAATTGTTATATTATTAAATAAGACAATAAATGTGACTCAAAATTGTTTGAACCGTTTGATCAATGATAAAAACTGTAGGGACCAGCATATACTTTTAAACTTGCTCACTGTTCTGGTCGGAAACAAGACACCTTCCAATGGGAATTTTTCAGAAAATAAAATAAAATAAATAATATATATATATATATATATATATATATATATATATATATATATATATGAGTTCTCCAAATTTATTTTGGAACTGGGGGAGCACATGCCTACCAGACTCGTGATATTGTTTGTTGTAATCCAGTGTAGATAAAATATTCATAATATTTTCTTCATATAAAATTCACTGTGTGTGGAATTAAATAATAATATGATATCATGCAATTAAAAATAAATTATCCAGATTCTTTTTTAATTAAACTTAGAATTTTTTAATAAATAAATAATTTGTCTACTATTTAGTACTTATAGTGATATCACTTAACTCAAGTACGAGCCATAAATATTTATTGAATTTTGTTGTTGTAACATTGCATAAAAGAAAAACATGCAGTCAACTACACCATTCTGGTCTTTGTATAGAATATTTCTAATATAATCACATATAAATAAAAATAATTTATTTAGTTCAATTTTTTTTAAATCTTATCAGTATAACAAATTTATGTCATTATTAATTATTTTAATTTTTATTATTTATTAATATCAAACATACATATTTGTAATATTTAATAGAGATAAACTAGAAAAAATGTTTTAATATTTAATAAAAATATAAAATACCTTATTTAATATAGATAAACTAGGAAAATAATCGAATATTTCATAAAATCTATAAAATACATTATGAGAAGGATATTTTTTTAACTTATGCCTTGTCTTAGTGGTGGAAAAGAGTTTTCTTAATACACATCATAAAACTGAAAGATAAAAATATACACTTTTTACATAATTTAGGCTAATTAAATAATTTTTACTCTTTTAATTTTTAGGTATCTTCACATTTACTTCTAAATACTATTACTTTTCCATTTATATTATTATCTTATTTAATTTTTATTTGGATTTAACTATAGAATTGAGAGAAAGGAAAAAAAAAGGCAAAGAAAAAAAATAAAATAGATTATGAGATGAAAAGAATTGAAATTACAAAGAAATGAAAAGAAAAAGTTGTGATTGATTTGATAAAATAAAAAAATATTAATTGAATAATATAATGATCTACTAACTTATTTTTATTTAAAATTTAATAGGAATGAGTATAAATTAAACATGAAATATGATTTAAAGAAATAGAAATAATATAACCTAAAAATAAATTTTAAATTATTAAAATGATTAATTAAATTTTTTTAATTCATATACAAATTGAATAAAAATTAAAATATAACGAGAAAAAATTTCGAATGAAAAATGGGAACTACTCATTAAAGTCACATTTATGAAAAAAGAAGTATTAATAATATATATCATAATTTTAATAAATTTAAAATAAAATAAAATATTATTTAAAAGATAACTTTAATAAATTATAAATAAATATCCAAATCCATAATCGATTTTATCATTGAATTGTAATAGTAATGACACGTGGATAAAGAGACATGAACCTTTAATAGGATAAATTAGACAAAGTTAATGTTCGAAGGGGCTTTTCAGTAATTTACAATAATTTAAAGTGAGTTTCCCGCCTACATAATTACTAAAATAAGTGAAAGTTATATAACTTTCATTTCTTAAAATAATATTTGTTAACCCTAAAAATTATTCTAAATAATTTCACTAAAAAAGCTACGAGGAGAGATTATATAAGTGTGGAGCTCATTTTACTTTCCATGCAAATTGTTTTTTTACTACATATTTTTTTCTATAAAATAAATAAAGAAGATAAAAAATATTTTTTAAATTTTAAATAAAATAATATAAATTTTAAAATTTAGTTTTAAAGTTATATATAAAATAATTTTACCTTTTTTTTAAATTATAAATATTTTTTCTCCTAAAAGCTTTCCTCCAAAAATGTCCTTACCCATTTATATTTTCTACCCTCCTCTCCCTCTTCGCATTTCTTATAAATTAAAGAGCTAGAAGATTTAATTCTTAGACAGGTTAAATTCAAGATTTCATATTTTTGAAGAAATAAATATTTTACTTTATTATAATTTGAAAATATTTTTAGTTTATTTATGATCATTATAATACATAAATGTAGTTTTCTAATACCTAACTCTTTTACCTTAATTATAGGACGAATAATTTCAAAATATTTCACTTAAATTAAAAAATCTTGATGATTATGTTTATACTTAATTGATTTATAGAAAAATATTTGTTATCAACATGGGAAGTGTGAATAAAATAAAATAAGAAGAAATTAATATTGTAACGTACAAAAATAATTTATATTCAGTCAGTAAAATAAAATTAACATATTACCGTAAATCATGTATATGTAATATATATATATATATATATATATATATATATATATATATATATATATATTAAAAATTGAATTGAAAGATGGATGAGTTGAACTGGAATGGGACTGAAAATCGACCCCCTATTTCTAAATAATTGAACGATATAAACTAAAAATATTAGAAAAACTAATTAATTTTTTTAATTGAATTATTTTTGAGAAAAAATAAAGATTAAATTTAAAAATAAAAAATAGAAGATATAACTTTTTTTATTTTTTATTTTATATAAATTACATTAATTTAAATAATAAATATTTGATTTTTAATCTTTTATATTTTTATTATATTTTATATTTATAATAATAAAATAAAAAGTTTTATTATTATTGAATTTTTTTGTTTTCATAAATTTATTAAGTTATTAAAAAAATTATTTTGTTACTCTTAAATCTTGAAAATATATATTTATCGATTTAGTCATCCGTTTAATTTAAAAACATTGACAAAGAATTGAATGATAGGAAAAAATATAGGGCATGAATGGCGTATGGGACAAGTTTATTTCTCAATCTCACTCCACAATCAACACGTCATTCCATCTACCACATCAGTAGAAATTTTGCTCCACCTCACTAATCAATAATTAATTCTGCGTTTCTTTGATTTTTCTCATCAATTTATTTAGTTTAAATATATATAATCAATTTATATTCAACTTAATCCCACATAAAATTAAAAATTATAATCATACAGCCATTTAAACAGCATTTGCTGTCGAAGTATGATTTCACCACCACACGTAGCTCATGTCTTTCACTTCCTTTCTCATATATATATATATATATATATATATATATATATATATATATATATATATATATATATATATATTTTTTTTTTTTAATTCTTGAAAAGTTTTATTGGTTATCATAAATAAGTATTGGTTATTATATTTTTTTTACTTACATAAATATATAATATCATTTTTAATTAATATAATGTTTTTTTTTCTTCATCTAAAGAAAATAATATAAATATTTTTTAACATTAATTTATTTTTAAATTGTTATTCCTTATGATAAAGAGATATTTTAATGACAGATATGTATTTAAGGATAAAAGAGTGAATTTAAAGGAACGAAACATAAAAGTGCAAAAATTTGTTTAGATTAAGAAAAATAAAATTAAAAGTAAAGATAAATTAGGAGAAATATTATAAAAGATAAGCTTGATTTAGTTAATTAAAAAATATTAAATAATAAAATAAAGTGATAAATAATCAAAATTTTTTTTTATAATTTTAATAAAAGTAAATATAAAATTAAGATAAAATTTAATATGAAATAATTCTTCAATAAAATAGATAAAAATAAAGTAATTTATATATAAATTATAAATAAACCTTAATGTAATAAATAAATTTATTATTCTTACATTTTATTATTATTTAAATATATAAATATCTAATTTATATTATTATATATACTTATTAAATATTTTACTAAAAAAATATTTTTAAAATAAGATATTCTAATATAAATAATTTAATTTCAAATTTAACATTTTTTAAAAATTATATATTTTCAATAATATATATATATATATATATATATATTAAAATTTAATTATTTTAAAAATTATATTAATTAATGTATTTGATTAGCTTCAATTACATAATCAATTATATTCAATTAGATAATCAATTACACAAGCCTACTAGCATATTCATATATATCAAACGTAGTAAATATGCTTGCTACTCCTATTGATTATGTTGACCATAATTCTATTATGATTTTCCTATGTGTCATTAAAACTTTAATCATATGTTTGTGGGTTATCAAAATTTTTCTCAGTGTAATCATCTTTAAAATTCTTTCCAACTATTTACAATAATAACAACTATACAAAAATATATATTTTAGATATTTGAAACATGATCAATATCATTTTTATCTCCTTTCTCACATCACATGTTTATGAATTTGATATGTGTTTTCTGTAACATGATGTTGGTGAGACTGGTGTTGTCTTTGGAGATGTGTGGTGGAGATGTTGGTGCTTGTTAGTGAGGTGTGGTCCGGTGTTGATTGTTAATACTTATTTGTGTGGTTAATGATGTTATGGTCGTATTCATGATATTATTCATAGTAGAACTTGGTCAAATTAGTCGTGTTTATGGTATTATTTATGGTGGTGATAGTACTATTTTTCTTTCGTTTTATATAAATATTCATGAGATAAATAAATAAAATATAATTGTGCTGGTTAAATTTGCTGTATTATTTAAAG